TGGTTCAAGTGATCCTCCCGCCTCAGCCTCCTGAGTAGCTGGGACTACAGGCATGTGCTAACACACCTAATTTTTTAAAACTTTTTTTTTTGTTTGGAGATGAGGTTTCACTGTGTTGCCCACACTGGTCTCAAACTCCTGGCCTCAAGCAATCTTTGTGCCTCAGCCTTTCAAAGCACTGGGATGACAGGTGTGAGCCACTGAATCTGGCTATATTTTTTTCTATATTTTACGTAGATGTTTTGTCATCTTGAGGGACTTGCTGGCAAGGGGAGACTGCTCCTCCAGGGCTAGCTAATTCCTCCTAGACAGTAAACCAGTTGTCAGTGAGTCCATCTTTGACATATACACCAACTGGCCCAAGCCACATCACCAGCCACCTGCTTTATCTAACTCTCACACCCCAAGCCAAGATTTCCCTGCCCTCAACAAACTCAGATCGAGGCACCAGAAAACCAGGAATAGGCAGTAAAGCCCACCAGAATTATTCACACTGGCCAGTTCTGACCTGTCTCCCATGCCCTGCCATGTCTTTCCAGGGAAACCCCAAGAAAGGCTGGGGCCTAGGCCTTCCCTCACTCCCTGTTTCTAGGGAAGCTGTAATGTTAAACTTCCTTTTCAGTGGCACTGATCTCCTCATGCTGTCATTTAGTCACCTTCATGTTCTAAGTTTTTAAATTATTTTTAAAGTTGGGGGTCTTGCTCTGTTGCCCAGGTTGGAGTGTGGTGGCACAATCATAGCTCACTGCAGCCTCAAGCTCTTGGGATCAAGTGATCCTCCTGCCTTGGCTTCCCAAAGTGATGGGATTACAGGTGTGGGCCACTGCACCCAGCTTCAGTCACCTTTATAAATTAGGACTCTGACACAAATGGCACAGCCAGGTCCATGTGGGAAAGTGATGAGCAGAGGGGGTGGCTAACACCCTGAGCCCAGAGGAAGTCGCCTTAGCAGCCGGTGCAGAGAGGAGAGGACAGGGAACCACCATGAGACAGCCTGGTGTTAGGGGCTTGGGACCAAAAAAGAGCAGGCGGAGACATCAAAGGAGAACCAGGACGGAGGGTGTCCAGGAGGCAGAGGTTTCCAGAAGAGAAGGGGTCAGCTGAGCCACCTGGTACTAGCAGGACAGGGGAGGCCTGCCCAAGGACTAGTCAAGGTGGCCACCAAATGAGGGCATCTTCAGTGGGTGGGGGCAGGGTACCGGGTGAGGGTGAGACCTCGAGGGAGGAGAGAAACTGGCACCAGTAGGAGCAGACAGATGCTTCAAGTTTTGCTAAAAGGGAACGAGAAAAATGACAGGCCCAGAGGGAGACCAGAGCTGAGGGTAATGTCCAGTGGATCATGGGCAAGTGCGTGGAGCTTTGGGTCAGACATGCCTGGTGTCAGGGCCTGGCCTCAAGGTTGGAGCAGCACCATTGAGTCCTCCGTGCCAGGCCCCGGGCTGGGCCCACACACGTGGGACCTCGGGACACTCTCCCAACTGTCTCCCAGCAACAAGGTAGGGCTCGTGACTGTCGCCACTTTATAGCTGAGGAGACTGAAGCTCACAGGGGCTGAGTCACTTGCCAGAGGAGCCAGGAGGTGAACTGGCCATGACCCGCTCAGCTCTCCGCTTGGCACTGTTCCGTCATCCAGCCAAGCCCCATGCTCATCCAGGAAGACGGGGCGCTGACGGCCCCGGGAGGCTGTGCACGTGTCAGCTGCCGGTTCTGGGGTCTCGCCAGCAGAGCTGCCCCGCTCCCTCCTGGCGCCCCTCACCATTCCTGCCTCTGTTCCCCACTCTTAACAGCCTTGGGGTGAGTAGGATTGGATGGGGAGTAGTGACAGAGGAGGAAGGTAGATTGCCAAAGTGGGGTGACTCGTTGAGGTGCTCAGGACCCTCTCTACTCCAGCCCCGGCCTGACCACCTTGCGCCACCACTAGTCCACAGGCAGCCAGCGGGATTTGCAGTTCCCCAAGTGCATCTTTGCACACACTGGCCACTCTCATCCCAACAGAGACATTCTCATCCTTCAAGACTCAATCACCACCTTCTCTGGGAAGGCTTCCCTGAGACAGACCTAACTCACACTTCCTTCTGTCCTGTTCGGCTGTCTGCCCCACAGTGTGTCTTGCTGCATGTGATGGCCTGCTACAGTGTCCTTCCCCAGGAGATAAGGTACCCCATAAGGCAGACCTTGGATCTGATTCGTGTCTGTGTTCCCCCTGGCCAGCACACAGAGGTGGTGCTCTGAATGGATGGATGCTCTGAACTCTAGATGGATGGATGGAGGGTGAGTGGAAAGATAGATAAAAGAGTGAATGATAGGATGGAGTGAATGAATGGGTGACAGATGGAATGGTAGGGTGGATGGACTCCATGTGGGGTCAGCATGGGTAATGGATGGGTGGATTAAATGAATGTAAGGGTGGGTGGATGGAAGGAAGGAGGAATTGAAAGAATGGATGGATGGGTGAACAGGTGGAGGGCAGATGAGTGGGTGGGTGGATGGATGGACAGGTAGACAGATGGGTAGATGGTGGATGGATGGATGGATGGATGGTGGATGGTTGTGTGGATGGGTGGTGGGTGGATGGGTGGATGATGCGTGGATGGGTGGATGGCGAATGGATGGGTGGTGGGTGGTGGGTGGGTG